ATAGGAGTGGTGAGAGAGGGCATCCCTGTCTTGGGCCAGTTTTCAGAGGGAATGCTTCCAGCTTTTGCCCATTCGCTATGATATTGGCTGTGGGTCTGTCATAAATAGCTCTTATTATTTTGAGATACGTCCCATCAATACCTAGTTTATTGAGAGTTTTTAGCATGAAAGGCGGTGGAACTTTGTCAAAGGTCTTTTCTGCATCTATTGAGATAATCATGTGGTTGTCTTTGGTTCTGCTTATATGCTGGATTACGTTTATTGATTTGCGAATGTTGAACCAGCCTTGCAGCCCAGGGATGAAGCCAACTTGATCGTGGTGGATAAGCTTTTTGATGTGCTGCTGGATTCGGTTTGCCAGTACTTTATTGAGGATTTCTGCATCGATGTTCATCAGGGATATTGGTCTAAAATTCCCTTTTTTTGTTGTATCTGTCAGGCTTTGGTATCAGGATGATGCTGGCCTCATAAAATGAGTTAGGGAGGATTCCCTCTTTTTCAATTGATTGGAATAATTTTAGAAAGAATGGTACCAGCTCATCTATGTACCTCTGGTAGAATTTGGCTATGAATCCGTCTGGTCCTGGACTTTTTTTGGTTGGTAGGCTATTAATCATTGTCTCAATTCCAGAACCTGTTATTGGTCTATTCAGGGATTCAGCTTCTTCCTAGTTTAGTCTTGGGAGGGTGTATGTGTCCAGGAATTTATCCATTTCTTCTAGATTTTCTAGTTTATTTGGGTAGAGGTGTTTATAGTATTCTCTGATTATAGTTTGTGTTTCTGTGGGATCGGTGATGATATCCCCTTTATCATTTTTTATTGCGTCTATTTGATTCTTCTCTCTTTTCTTCTTTATTAGTCTTGCTAGCAGTCTATTAATTTTGTTGATCTTTTCAAAAAACCAGCTCCTTGATGCATTGATTTTTTGAAGGGTTTTTTGTGTCTCTATCCCCTTCAGTTCTGCTCTAATCTTAGCTATTTCTTGCCTTCTGCTGGCTTTTGAATGTGTTTCCTCTTGCTTCTCTAGTTCTTTTAACTGTGATGTTAGGGTGTCAATTTTAGATCTTTCCTGCTTTCTCCTGTGGGCATTTAGTGCTATAAATTTCCCTCTGAACACTGCTTTGTGTCCCAGAGATTCTAATATGTTGTGTCTTTATTCTCATTGGTTTCAAAGAACATCTTTATTTCTGCCTTCATTTCGTTATTTACCCAGTAGTCATTCAGGAGCAGGTTGTTCAGTTTCCATGTAGTTGAGCAGTTTTGATTGAGTTTCTTAGTCTTGAGTTCTAGTTTGATTGCACTGTGGTCTGAGTGACAGTTAGTTATAATTTCTGTTCTTTTACATTTGCTGAGGAGTGCTTTACTTCCAACTATGTGGTCAATTTTGGAATAAGTGACGTGGTGCTGAGAAGAATGTATATTCTGTTGATTTGGGGTGGAGAGTTCTGTAGATGTCTATTAGGTCCGCTTGGTGCAGAGCTAAGTTCAATTCCTGGATATCCTTGTTAACTTTCTGTCTCGTTGATCTGTCTAATGTTGACAGTGGGGTGTTAAAGTCTTCCATTATTATTGTGTGGGAGTCTAGGTTTCTTTGTAGGTCTCCAAGGACTTGCTTTATGAATCTTGGGCATGCACCCAATTATTTAAAATGCAAACTAGTCTACATGGCAGACCAGAGGCTGCCTGAGGAAAATGGATCACCACGGCACACAAGCAAACTTTTGGGGGTGATGAATATGTTCCCTGTGTTGACTTTGGTGGAGTTACTCGACATGTATGCTCTATCAAAACTGCTGTCCAACTGAACCTTTACGTGATACCCCCCTACCCTCAGCCCCGCAGCCAGGCAGCCTCTTCAACTCTGTGTAACCCTATGTTTCCCCCAAACACATTTCACAAAGTGACTCCTTTTCACATAAGACTTTCTAATATTCTTAGAACCTGACTTAGAACTAGAACTCTAAACCAGCAATGATCAAAAGAACTATAATGCAAGTTGTATAGCGAATTTTTAACTTCCCAGTAACCACACTTTTAGAGTAAAAATTATTCAACCCAACAGATGATTTAGCCCAACAGCATGGACCTTGCTGACCCTCCTGTCACAGAGGAAGGAGGACCCCACCCCCCCCGACAAAGGACAGCACCCCATTTCCCACCCCGTGGCTGCTTCAGAAGGACTCAAAGGAAAACCAATCCCCAGCTGCCAAGTGGAGTCACAGGAGCAAAGAGGGGGAACTAAATTGTGCTGGACAGGTTTTCCAAGTTTCATGCAATCGAAATTCAGCAAGACCCAATTCACAGGTCACATGTATACCATGTGTATATGTAACAGAGCATGTGCCTATCGTAAGTACTATTTCTATTTCTCAACACATTCATGAGTGACATTCTGAACTCTTCTGTATCTAACAGCTTGCAATGTATTTGGCAATATTGTTTTAAAAGGAAAAGCCTCTTAATGAGATAGAGTTAGGCAAAAAGAATAAAGATTGCTCAATGACTCATGACACTATCTGCCATGAGATTATCACGGAGACCCACCTGGGCCTACAGAAGAAGGAGATAAATAGAGCTTCCTCCTAAAAACAGCGCCTGGCGTGGAGGAGCGAGCGGAACTTACCTTGCAGCACTCGGATGAGCCTCTCGCCTGTGGTGATGTTATTCACCAAAACCGCCTGCAAGGAAGATAAACACACATGAAACACCCAAACCAACACCTCAGCCTGACAGCCAGATGCGATAGAAACCAAAGATGGGGCCGCCCTCCCCAACCCAGTGCCGCTGGCGCTGAGTGCTTGGCCTGGACCCTCCCGTGTCTGCTGCTGAAAAGGAACAGCCCGACCTAGAGATCAGCTCCCCACCGCCACCTCTGGACCCGAGCAAAAGCCAGCGGGTCCGGACTCCACTCCAGCCCAGGAAACGCAGCTCCTCCAGGAAAGCGCCAAACAGGCCCTGCTTCCTCCTGCCCGACACAGCCGAGGTTCTGGGCACCCAGAGGACCAATCAGCAACCTCATACCGCACCACACCGCACACCACTCCACAGCAAACCACAGCATACACACCACACACACACCACACCACACACACCACTCCACACCAAACCACACCACACACACACCACACCACACACCAGTCCACACCAAACCACACCACACACACATCAAACCACACCACACACACACCACACCACACACACCACTCCACACCAAACCACACCACACACACATCAAACCACACCACACACACACCACACCACACACACCACTCCACACCAAACCACACCACACACACATCAAACCACACCACACACACACCACACCGCACACCAGTCCACACCAAACCACACCACACATCAAACCACACCACACACACACCACACCACACCAAACCACACCACACACACATCAAACCACACCACACACCAGTCCACACCAAACCACACCACACACACACCACACCACACACACGACACACCTCACACCACTCCACAGCAAACCACACCACACACACCACAGCAAACCACATCAAACCACACCACACACACACCACACTGCACACCAGTCCACACCAAACCACACCACACACACATCAAACCACACCACACACACCACACCGCACACCAGTCCACACCAAACCACACCACACACACATCAAACCACATCACACACACACCACACACGAGACACACCTCACACCACTCCACACCAAACCACACCACGACACACACCACACACCAGTCCACACCAAACCACACCACACACACATCAAACCACACCGCACACCAGTCCACACCAAACCACACCACACACACACCACACACCAGTCCACACCAAGACACACACCACACACCAGTCCACACCAAACCACACCACACACACATCAAACCACACCACACACACACCACACACACGACACACCTCACACCACACCAAACCACACCACACACACATCAAACCACAACACACCACACCACACCGCACACCAGTCCACACCAAACCACACCACACACACATCAAACCACACCACACACACCACACCACACACACGACACACCTCACACCACTCCACACCAAACCACACCACGACACACATCACACCACACACATCAAACCACACCACGACACACCACACACAACACACCAAACCACACCACTCCACACCACACCAAACCACACCACGACACACACCACACACACAAGCCACACAAGACACACACCACACACACACCACACACGACACACCACTCCACACCAAACCACACACACACCACTCCACACCATACCACCAGACCACACCACACACCACACCGAACCACACCACGCCATAACTCCACACCACACACACCACACCACCCACACCACTCCACACCCCCCACACCACACACACACCACTCCACACCACACACGCTACACACATGACTCCACACAATACCAAACCACACCACACAACCACACCAAAACACACCAAGCCACAACACACCATGCACACCACCCACACCACTCCACATACAACACACACACCACTCCGCACCCCACACACACCACTCCACATCACACACACACCACACACACTACACCACACCATATGACTCCACACCACACACCACCAGACCACACCACAGACCACACCACACACCACTCCACACCAAACCACACCACGCCACAACTCCACACCACACACACCATTCCACACCTAACCACACCACTTCACATCAAACCACACCACGACACACACCACCCACACCCCACCACACACACACCACTCCACACCACACACACCACACACGCTCCACACCACATGACTCCATACCACACACACTAAATCAAAATCTACAGCCACACAACACACACATTCACATACCACCATCCATTACACTGCTCCCACACCACCACACCATGCCACTCCACACGCAAACCCACACAGCCCACACCATGCCACACCAACTCCACACAAACACACACCATGGCACACACAACAAAAAACCACAAGCATACCATACACCACCAAACACCACCGACACACCCACTTCACGACCAAAACCACTCCACACACACCACTCCACATACTACACATTCACACGACTTCCACAACACACACCATGCCAGCACACTTCCACACAAGCCACGGCCAACACACCAGTTTCCGACACCAAGATCCAGCACCATTACACACTCCACCACGGCCCACACAACACACCGCAGCACGACAACATAACCGAGCACATCCACACTAACTCCAAACAACACCGAAAAACCATGTTACACGATCAGCGGAGTGGACTGCTCACACGACGACCATACATTCACGAAACTTGCTCTACACCACACAGCTCACATACCAAGTTCATCAGCGACCAAAGACCAAAACACGCCACACCGCACTTACCACCAAAGCCACTGCTACACCAACGGGGGTTCTATACACCCACACCAGCGTCATCACTGCACAGCTCCGCCACCGCTCCAACCCTACACCAGCTCACATGGCACAGCGTTCCGCACCGCCTCCACGCGCCACAGCCAGTCACACTGCACAGCCTCCGCACCGCTGCCACGCCTACACAAGCTCACATGCACATTGGCCTCCGGCACCGCTCCACCCCACACCAGCTCAGGAGTGCACAGCTTTCCACACCCCGGCGTTCCACCGCGCCACACGCAGCCTCAGCGAGCACTGCACAGGCTCCGTGCCACCGCTCCACCGCATGCCAGCTGCAGCCTCACCATGGCAAGCGCTGCGCAGCTTGCTCCGGACCCCACAGGCCAGCTGCACGATGCAGCGGGCCTCAGCACCGCCTCCCACACATTCAGCTCGGACACTGGGGCGCACGGGAAGGCACGCGCGGACCGCTCCACTCCCGACACCAGTCACAGCTGCGCACAGCTCCACACCACTCCACACCAGCACCAGGCTCACACGTTGCACAGCTCCGCTCACCACTCCGACGAGGCGACACCTCAGCACCAGCTCACACTGTCCCACAGCTCCGCACCCACTCCACACACACCAGTGGGCTCACAGAATCTTTTAGTAAAACCACCTCGAGCGAATCACACTTTTCACTCCCTATTGCAACCCAATTCATACCATACATTGCTCCATCTATGACCACAGTTATAATACCACCAAGAACCCGCACCACCAGTCAGTGAATCAATAAAGACACCGCAAGTCACGCACAGCGCTGCCCCAGCACCAGCTCACAGTGCATCACCAACAGCAAAGCACAACCTGCTCGCACCGCCAAGCGCACTATTCTCAAACACATAAAGCTACTCGAGCTACTGCAAGAGCTCAACAAGCGAAAGCGCGCTCCACCCCAAACGTCATCCAGCTAACCTTCCACACTGCACAGCTCCGCACCACCTCCACCACCACACCAGCTCACACGTGGCACAGCTCCACCCACCACTCCCACCCACACCGCCGCAGTCGCCCACACGTTGGCACAGCCTCCTCTCCACCTTCACACCAGGGCTTCACGACTGGCAGCAGCTCCACACGCTCCACCCCAGCGAACCCAGGGCTTTCACACTGCACAGCTCCGCGCGGACCGCACTCCACCTACCCACACACAGCGGGCAGGGCTCAGCACTGCACAGCTCCGCGCACGCTCCCCATCAGCCAGCACCAAGTGGCGCGCGTTTCGCAGCGCCACCGGTGCCAGCAGCTGGCCGCCAGGGGGCCACCCTCCCATTCTCTTCCCCAACCAGCCACGGCCTTCAAGCCCACTGCAACAGGCTCGGCGGTCCGGCTCCAGCCCGCACACCTGAGGCTCACCAGGACACGTGACAAGGCTTCGCCGCCCACACCCACTTCCACCCCACACCAGGCTCACAGCGTGCACAGCTCCGCGACCACTCCAACGGCCCTCGCACCGTTAATGCGGCACAAAAAGCTCCGGCACGCACCACTCCTACACCACACGCAGCTCACACTCTGTGCAAAAGCGGTCCAGCAGATGCGAGCCATGACGGAGCTTCACGACTGCAAGGCTCGCACACCACTCTTACCCCCGACACCAGCTCACACTGCACAGCACCGCACCACTCCACACCACTCCAGCTCACACTGCACAACTCCGCACCACTCCACACCACACCAGCTCACACTGCACAGCACCGCACCACTCCACACCACACCAGCTCACACTGCACAGCACCACACCACTCCACCCCACACCAGCCCAGGTCTCCCTCGTTCAGAGCTCAAACTCCGAATTCCAGGTTGGCCAAAAAAGAAAAGGGAATGCAGTGGCCACTCCACTAACAAGACCTCTTGATGCACTTGAACTTCTGGCCTCCTCCTGTCCACAGAGTCTATAAGCTTAGGCACTGGAGGGTTTCACACACAGTCTCACCATGCTGGGAAAGTCAACAGCAGAGGAGGGCAGAAGCCACACAGAATCCAGATAGCAACAAAGTGAAAAGTAGGAAGAGTGAGTGTCAAGGTCAGTGTAACAACTGGCCAATATGCCGTGACAAGTCACTTTATGCCAGGAGCTCTTCTAAGCCCTCCACATCTACTCGCTCTTTTATTTATTTTTTTTTTTAATTTTTTTTGAGACAGAGTTTTGCTCTGTCGCCAGGCTGGGGTGCAATGGCACAATCTCTGGCTCACTGCAGCCTCCACCTCCCGGGTTCAAGCAATTCTCCTGCCTCAGTCTCCCAAGT